TACAGATCCACATTCAGAGTCCTTGAACTCATTTGGGCAGCTGTTGGCATTGCCATCCACCTTTATAAAAAAAATAAATATTCATAAAAAAAAAAAAAATAACACCAAGATCGTTAAATCTTAAATTAAATATTTTCATTTTCAATTAACATTGAATTGGGTGAGTTTAACAACTATTTCGTATTTGAACCACTGCCCATCTCAATATAATTTAATGAAGGAGGGTTAAAATTATTAAAAAAATTTCAATTCACTTTTTTTTCCAGCTAACGAAATAAATCATTGTTATTATAGTTTGTTAGCAATCCCACAATAACTTCTTGATATAATAAATTAGGTGCTTTGATAGCACTTTTTATGTTTATTTGTAAACAACTAGTTGCTCCAAATGATGAATAAGCAATTATCGTTGAATCTACTTTTTGAGATTTCACATATTTTATCAATCGTTGTATTGATGATGTTCAATTTGTTGCACTTATGGTTTGATACGTGCATATTTCAACAACTAGAAATTCCAATGTTCTACAATAAAAATAATATGTTAGTTGTGTTCTATGTCTTTAAATATCAATGTACATATATATATATATATAACACGTACGCACAAGTTATTCACACATATAAAATTATATTCGCTCCTCTCTCACACATTTATATAGTTAATTCGCTCTAATTAATCCAGCATCAACCAAATTCCTCTAACAGTACCATTTTCTTTGAATGCCAACTTGATTATTTGTATCATTTGTAATATTTCACCCGGATAGATAAAGTGCATTTATTTCAATGAGATTGGAAAATGAATAAATCAAGTAAATATTTAAATATTCCAGTTTAAATCCAACATTTTCTTTTTTATGAAATGTGTTTCGTAACTATTTGGAAGTGTAGAAATCAAGATTATTACAACAATTTCTCCATCCATACATCCATACATACATCCATCCATCAGTTCATTCCTTCGTTAATAATTGATTATCTTGAATGTTACAAAAATATCTTCACGTTTAACTAATCCATCATCAATAGCATTCTTACCAACTTCTTTTTCATTCTCATTAACATAGTCACACGCATTATCAAACAACCTATACCCAATTTGATAGCATCAACAGTTAACAATCCTAAACCAACCAAGGACACCTGTTGAATTAAAAATTACACTATTCTCCGGTTTCATTATTGTTATTGTTAACACCAACTAATATAAGAATGAAATATGTTCTTTTCCGCAATTTCTTTCCTTGTTTATATTTATTTCTCTGGTAACTTTTTAAGCATTCCACTATTTATTTAAAAAAACAATAACTGACAATACTAATATAAAATCTAGATATTCCAACCTCTGGTGTCACCAATGTCTATGAATATGGCTCTTACCTTGCTTACATTCTGTTTTAT